GTAAAAAAAAATTTGCGCCTAAGGCAAGGTGGTGGATATGAAGTACATAAACAAGGCGCTAGTTTGGAGATAGGCGTATGTTCTTTCTCTCTTCCGCGCCCCTCGTCGTTCGCCGCGTTATCGCTCGCTCTCTCTTTTCTTCGCCTACTCTGTTCTGTCTCTGCTTTATGTGTGTCCTCTCTCATCTCCACTCCTTATGCGTGCTGCGCTCGTCCCCCCCTCTCGCACAATACATCGCGCTTAAGGCAGGGTGTGAATATATAGTATAACACAAAGGCGCGATTTGAGATAGCTACGTTCTTTCTCTCTTCGTCGCCGCTCTCTCCCACTCCCACCAACCGAATATTGCGCTAATGTGTGAATATAGTATATACACAAGGGCGCGACTGGGCGTACGTTCGAGAGCACCTCCAACATTCCCTCTCCAATGACCACGCGGCATATCCGCCTACATACGAAACGCATAGTTTCATGTAGTCAAGAGTACATAATAGAGTCTATTATGTACGCTTGATATAGTCCTGGATCTATAACAGCAACATAAGTTGCTATATAAATGTCAGGGGCGGGCTGGGGTGATCACACGACAGACGCGATCTTACAGGGATTTATACAGCGTTTCCAACGACACCGGCGCGCGTCATTTCACCTGCCCGAGCGTATTGGCTAGATATTACTGTAGATAAATACCGGGGGTGGGTGGGGGAGGCATTGTCGCATCGTGCGCATTCGCAGAACAGCACATATCCGCTACGGATCCGCTACGGATCCGTGCGGATCCGCTACGGAAGTGTTCAACACTTGCTAATACACGGAGAGGGTTCAACACTTGCTAATACACGGATGATGGCTTGCTAAGCCACGGAAGGGGGTTCAACACTTGCTTAATTACACGGAGGGAGCTACCACGGATGGTGCTTGCTAAGCCACGAAGGGAGTTCAAACACTAGCTAATACACGGAGAGGGTTCAATCACTTGCTAAACACAGGAGCGAGCTACAACGGAATGGTGGCTTGCTAAGGTGCCACGGAAAAGGGGTTCAACACTCAGCTAATACACAGAGGGAAGCTACATCGGATGGGTGCTTGCTAGCGACGGAAAGGGGTTCAACACTTGCTAATATCACCGGAGGGGGTTCAAACACTAGCTAATACACGGAGGGAGGCTACACGATGGTGGCTTGCTAAAGCGACGGAAGGGAGTTCAACACTTGCTAATACACGGAGGGGTTCAACACTTGCTAATACCGAGGGAGCTACAGCGGATGTTGGCTTTGCTAAAGCCAGGAAGGGGGTTCGAACACTAGCTAATACACGGAGGGAGCTACACGGAATGGTGGATTGCTAAGTCGACGGAAGGGGGTTCAACACTATGCTAATACCGGAGGGGGTTCAAACAGCGTGAGCAATACTACGAGAGGCGAGCTACACGGGATGGTGGCTTGCTAAAAAGGCCACGGAAGGGGGCAAACACTTAGCTAATACACGGAGGGATGCTTACACGGATGGTGGCTTTGCTAAGCGACGAAGGGGTTCAACAACCTTGCGTAATACACGGAGGGTTCAACAACTAGCTAATACACCCGGAGGGAGCTTACACGGATGGTGGCTTGCTAAGCGACGGAAGGAGTTCAACACTTGCTAATAGACGGTAGGGGGTTCAACAACTAGCTAATACACGAGGAGCTACACGATGGTGGGCTGCTAAGCGACGGAAGGGGTTCAACACTTGCTAATACACGGAGGGGGTTCCACACTTCTAATACACGGGAGCGAGCTACACGGATGTGCTGCTAAGCGACGGAAGGGGGTTCAACCACTTGTAATACATCGGAGGGGGTCAGCACACAATTACAAGCCGGAGGGAGCTACACGATGGTGGCTTTGCTAACGGCGACGGAAAAGGCGAGTTCAACACTTGCTAATACACGAGGGGGGTTCAAAGCCACGTTGCCTAATGACACCGAGGGAGTCTACACGATGGTGGCTTAGCTAAGCGGACGGAAGGGGTTCATACACCTGCTAATACACGGAGGGGGGTTCAAGCCTAGCTAAATACACGGAGGGAGCTACACGATGGTGGCCTTGCCTAAGCGACGAAGGAGTTCAACACTAGCTAAATAACGAGAGGTTTCAACACTTTGCTAATACACGGAGCGAGCTACACGGATGGTGGCTTTCTAAGCGACGGGAAGAGTTCAAACACTAGCCTAATACACGAGGGGTTCAACACTTGCGTATACGGAGCGAGCACAACCGATAAGAGGGTGGTTGCTAAGCGACGGAAGGGAGTTCAAACAGCTTGCTAATACACGAGGGGGTTCAACACTTGCTATAATTACACGAGCGAGCTAACCAGGAGTGGTGCGCTTGCTAAGCCGACGGAAGGGGTTCAAACACTTGCTAATAGACGGAGGGTGGTTCAACACTAGTAATACACGCGAGGGAGCTAACACGGAGGGTGGCTTGCTAGCGACGGAAAGGGGTTCAACACTTGCTATACACGAAGTAGGGGGGTTCAACACTAGCTAATACACGGAGGGGTTCAAGCACTAGCTAATTAGCACGAGAGGAGCTACAACGGATGGTGGCTTGCTAAGCCACGCTGAAGGGGATTCCAACACTGCTAAAATATCATGCCCCTGTTGTCTGCGTGTCTCTCTCCGAATCGTGTAAATAAACGCGCTGTGATTGAGCTGGCGCGTGAAGTCTGCACGTACGTGTGTGTGTTGTGTTGTAACGCATATAAATCACTTAGAGACACTCTATAGAGAGTCTCTCTATGGTTTGTGCGCGCTGCCATACCCCGCTGAGGCGGTCAAACGCGATCACAACAGCGAGATCGACAAATGCGTTTGCGCACACGAAAGAAATTCGAACAATGAAATAAGATAAAGGTTAGAATGACATACGGGCAGAAGAGACGGCGAAAGGATGGACGTGTTGTTGTGTTGTGTGTGTGTGGTGTGTGTGTGTGTGTGTGTGTGTTTGTGCGTGCGTGTGCGGTGTGTGTATGCGTGGCGTGCAGTGCTTGTGCGTGTGTGTGGTGTGGTGTGTAGTGTATGTGTGTTGCGTGTGTGCGTGTGTGTATGTGTGTGTGTGTGTGTGTGTGTGTTGTGTGTGTGTGTGTGTGTGTGTGTGTGTTGTGGTGTGGTGTGTGTTTGTGTGTGTGTGTGTGTTGTGTGTGTGGTGTGTGTGTGTGTGTGTGTGTGTGTGTTTGTGACTGGCGAAGTTATGTGATTGTGTGTGTCGTGCGTGCCGTGTGTTGCCTTATATTACACTGGAGTAGCATTCAGCGGCACAACAATCAACAGCATCAACAACAACAGCAACAGCAACAACACAACAACACACAATAACAGGCAGCAAGTTAGCAGAAGCAACACAACAACAACAACAACAACAATAACCGCAACAAACAAACAGCCAGTAAACAACAGCCAGCGCCAGCAGCACAGCAGCAAACAGCCGCAAGCAAAGCAGCAGCTCAGCAGCAACAACAGCAGAGCAGCGCAGCAGCAGCATATAATGAAACAGCACATGTGGCTTGCTACGTAGCACCAACTAACAGCCACAACAAATCGCCATCTCGCGATGAACGTGTGATGATCACCCGCCGCGTTTCTCCCCCCATGTGCGATTTCGCTTTTTTCATTGACAGTTCGCTGGCAATGAAAAGCTTGATAAAAGCAACAAGACGACGACCGGGTTCGCTGCTTGATAAGCGTTTGTATGAACATAAATTGATATCAAGGCCGTAAAAAGACGAAAAATGGCGGCGATGCGAGGCGAGAGCGTCACATTGCAGCTTCCTGGATACGTGAACAGGACTGACCGCTGGCGGCCGCCGCTGCGGGCAGCGGAAAAAAGGTAAAATTAACAGGTAAGATTATGCAACATCGCGATTGGTTCGCGTAGCGAAGGCCATACACGCGTGCGGGCATCCGACATAAGCTTTGCGCCTTTCGATGGAGATGTTGAAGAGATGTTGAATGAGATTTATGGAATGTTTGGTTGGTTGGTAGGACGATAGGTTAGCGACGGTTGGAATAGGTTAGCGCTCAAACTAAGCTTTCGAAACCCCGCGTATATTATATATATATATTCACATCCTCATCAATCCATCATCAAAATATCGTCCATCATCATCATCATCGTCGTCGTCGTCGTCGTCAATCATCATCATCAAATCATCATCGCGTCATCAATCGATCATCATCACCATGAAACTCGTCACTCAGCCATTACGAATAACTTTTTAACGGCCTAACCTATACCCTCCACCACACATACTGCTCCTATAGTTAGCCATAACGCAATAACTAATAGGAAGTACCACATCTAAATAGCAACGGAGGTTAACTATATACACCCGGGTCGAGGTAACTATACTAAATACCCGAGTAAGCGTAAGATGAATACCCAATTTTCAAGTAATTATTATAATTGAGTATACGCCGCAGCGACCGTAACAGTGATCGTTGACAAAAGGCGTGAACTCATCGTAAGACAACGTATGTGTGTGGGTAGTGTTGGTTGTTTTGTGGTGGTGTGCGGTGTGTGGCGTGGTGCGTGCGTCACTAAAGGTTTGCGCACACTGTGTGTAGCGATGTGTAGAGTCGATATGTGTGGATAGTAGCGTAGAGGCTGTACGTAGTGTTGTGATGACCACACACATGCATATTACGTGTAACCACACACGATAAGTTTTGAAATATACGTATCTACACTAGCTGATACGACAGGCGAGCGATACATGTTTACACGTTACTGGGCATGACAGTCACACATAGCACACGCACACACGTCGCACCAGCGCCTACGTCACAACACGCACACGCTAAATCATCAAAATTTGTTTGGTTGTGTTAGATGGAGTTCGCCCATTTGTCACGATTAACACTGATTTTCAACGGGCTAGCGGGTAAAACCAATTATAATCATTACTAGAAATTGGTATATCATTACTTAACCGGGTCATTAACACGCACCACACCACACACACACTACACCTACCCGACACACACGACACACACACACACACACCACCCACACACAACACCCCCGCACACACAGGGTAACACACCACAATAAGCACGGGGAGGAGAGGCACCGGGTCCACACACAAAACAAGCGCGCACAAGCACAATAGCGCGACGCAACTAGGCGGCGTGCCGCGGATGCGAAAGAGCATCACTGACCACGCTAGGGCGATACGACGCAGGCGGCAGACGCAATGGATCAGGCGCGCTGAGAGCGGCGGGAATGCGACCAAGGAAATTGCTAGGTGGGGGGTTGAGGGCATTGCCAATGAAGTGGCGGGGTGAGCGGTGGCAGGTAAGGAGGTGGCGCCCGCGGAGTGAACACGCACCGCACGCAACGACACACCACGCACAACACACCACACATATATATATATTTATATATATATATTATCAAAGAGCTAATAATACCTCTAGTGTATTATTAGCTCTTGATTAGGGTATTATTAGGGTATTATTAGGGTATTATTAGATTTATTCATTAATCACGCATTTCTAATGTGATATCTCGCCAAAGATTTCGCCGTGGTAGTTGCTGGTTTATATCAGTCTCTGAGTCTGCATTTGAAATTCCTACATGAATGTCAGAACAGATTGTCAGCAAAAAAAAAATGTTCCTGCGGTTTTAGCCGAATTCATCACTATCTGATAACTGTCGATCAGTTTCCACTAAACAACCGACGAAATGGCGTTCGGAAACCCCAAGAAGGAGTATAAAGATATTTGTGGGGGAGAAGAAGAGTAAAAATTTTTATTAGATGTCGGCTGTGCAGCCGGTTATTGAAGCGAATAATTAAACACCAGAAGTAAAGGGAAAATGCACGCAAGCCGACACAATTGCAAGTCAAGTAGGTTTGGAGACAGCCAGTACTACCGTGGGGTGGGCGTGGTTACGACACGAGCCGGACGTAAACAGGTCCAACCCTCAGAAAACAACTTAACCTGGCATCTATAACACACGTGAATAACGCTAGTAAGCTAGAAATACACCCGCACGTGGTCATTCACACATTCCTTTGAAAGAAGCGAGCGCAAAGGCGTGTTCAATAGCCGGAAATTTCTTCGACATTTCGGCACCTGCCGAGACGGTCGGCCAACTCGCGAAAACGCGTGTTATCGCGACGAGTCTTATTCGGTTTAGTGGCACTCTATCTGAATCACAATGTGAAAGCGATGTATAACATCACTCCATCACTGCTTATTGCTTCAGGGACAAGTTCTTTTAATCGTGGCCCCCTCGGAACGTTCTACGGAGTATTTTTCGTAGTAGCGTAAACACGCAACACGCACTCCTGCGCGCGCTCTCTCTGTCGATTCCATCAGTCTCTTGCTTTCCTTCGTCGACACCCACCTCTCTCTTTCTTTCTCTCGGTCGTGTCTCTGTCTGTGTGGTCTCTCTCCTCTCACTCTTATGCGTGCTCCCTCGTTCTCACCCCCCCCTCTCTTCTTTCTCTTTCTGTCGCTCAGCTCGGGCCGAGTCGCTTGCTCCTCTTCTTTCTCTCCTCGCGCGCGCTTCCTCTCTGACTCTCGTTTTGTCTGTCTGTCTCTCTCTCCTCCTCTGTTTGTCTGTCCTTCTCTCTCATCTCTTCTCTCTCTCTCCCTCTCTCTCTCTCGCCTTCGCTCTCTCCTATGCTCTCTCTCTCTTTCTCATCTCACTCGCGCGGCGACTCGGCGCTCAGTCCACTCGCATATCTCATCTCTCTCCTATTCGTCTCTCCATCGCGTCTCTCATCGCTCTCTCTCTCTCTATCTATCCTCTCTCTATCTCTGTCTCTCATCTCCTCGCGCGCGCAGATGCGCTCGTCATCTCTCACTCCATGCTGCGCGTGCACGTCTCTCTCTCTCTCTCTCTCTCTCTCTCTCTCTCTCTCTCTCTCTCTTCTTTCTCTCTCTCATCTGCTCTCTCTCTCTCTCCTCTCTCTCCTGTCCTCTCATGCCCTCTCTCTCTCTCGCGCGGCGTATCGCTTGTTCTCTCTCTCCTGCTCTCTCTCTCCTCTACATCTCTCTCTTCCTCTCTCCTCTCACTGCGCGGTCTCCTCCGCGCACGCTCTCATCTCTCTCTCGTTCGCATTTCTTTCTCTCTCTCTTCTCTATCTCTCTCTGCTCCTCAGGGGGTCCGGACCCCCTGGGCCCCTCCCCCCACCCCCTACCTGCCCCTGCAGTAATTGAAATGATTTAGGTCTGCCCATGTCTCCAAATTATCATAATTAGCTGAACTTTCAAGTGGGGCACGGAGGAAGGAGTTTTTTTTTTGAATCTCAGTGGGGGATATTTGTACAGGCCATCCCCCCCTCCTTCAAGAGCGGGGGGGATGCATCCCCCCATCCCCCCGGGATTTACGCCCATGGGTGTAGCAAACCTCGCTACAAAGCTATAAATGGAAGGTTTTTGGTTAAGAGAAAGTAGAACGAGAGTGTGCGGAGTCACGCGGATGCGTGCCTCTGTGCGCACGCATGTGGGTTGAAAAACAATAATACTATTTGCAAAACACAACTGTTTGGACTTTGGACTTTTCTTTCATCTCTACAACAAATCTACTTTGGAACGGGTAACGTCACATCCTCGTTACATTAGTATTGGATAAAGATGTACCTACTACTGCAGGGTTTCTTATACATAAGAGGCACAGTGGTGCACCGCCATTGTCAAATTTAACATCGCCGTTGTGAAAATGTTTCTGTATTTACTGATAAGTATATCGTGTACCTATATACCTATAAGTATATTGTAACGAAGAATGATGATATAAATCCAAACTTGTGTAATAACCTGCAGAAATTTTAATATCTTGCACACCGTGTAGGCCCTAGTTACATCTTGCACAAAGAGACCATTAACAAAAGAACGCGCGCAAGCGCGTGCGCTTAATCCCGTCTCCACAACCAGCCTTTTCCCAGTGTCTCACGTACGCATCTCTCTGGGAGTGAACAAAACCCAAATTTGTTCTTATTCATTCCTTGTCTCTTTCCTACTACACCACTCTACCCCATATTTAAAACAGGATTTGCGTTTGTAGATATGGAATAGGCACCATTACAGACATCTTCCTGGATAGAGTGAGATTTTTTAAGCGTATCTCACGTACGCATCTCTCTGGGAGTGAACAAAACCAAAATTAGTTCTTATTAGTTCCTGATATCTTCCCTACGACACCATTCTACCCCGTATTGAAGCAGGGTTAGGTTTGCATTTGCAGCTACGGGATAGTTACCCTTACAGACTTCTTCTTCGATAGAGTGAGATTTTTTTATAGATAGATTTGAGATTTTATTAGGAGTGTCTCACGTATACATCTCTCTGGGAGTGAGTAAAACCAAAATTTATTCTCAATCACGCCTGGTCTCTTCCCTACGACACCACTCTGCCCCGTATTAAAACAGGGTTAGGTTTGCATTTGCAGCTACGGGATAGTTACCCTTACAGACTTCTTCTTCGATAGAGTGAGATTTTTTAGGAGTGTCTCACATATTCCATTCTTTGGGTTTGCGTTTGCAGCTACGGGACAGGCACTTTGACAGACGTCTTCCTGGACCGAGTCTTCCAGGAGTGTCTCACCTACGAAGGCGAGATGCATTACAAAACCTACCTAGATTTTGTGTTCGCGCTGGAGAACAGGCGCGAACCGCAGGCCATGCAGTATCTCTTCCGCATACTGGACGTGAGACACCGGGGTTGCCTGGACGTCTTCGCTCTCAACTTCTTCTTTAGGGTACGAACGTAGGTCGTACGCACAGTGCAGGTTTTTTTGCGGCAGTCTCTATTTTAATTAAAGCAAACAGAAGTGTCAAGGTATTCAGTAGGTTTCTTTGCTGTAGTCTCTCTATCTTAATTAAAGCGAACAGAAGTGTCAAAGCATTCAATGGATTTATTTCTGTAGTCTTGCTATCTTAATTAAAGCGAACAAAAGTGTCACTGCATTCAATGGATTTCTTTTCTGTAATCTCTATCTTAATTAAAGCGAACAAAAGTGTCACTGCATTCAATGGATTTCTTTTCTGTAATCTCTATCTTAATTAAAGCGAACAAAAGTGTCACTGTATTCAGTGGATTTCTCATTTGTAGTCTCTCTACCTTTTATAATGAATCATTGTTTGTGCAGGCCATACAGAAGCAGATGAAGCAACATGGCCAGGACCCGATCTCTTTCCATGACGTCAAAGACGAGATATTTGACATGGTGAAACCCATTGACCCGCTAAGGATCACCGTACAAGATCTTGTCGTGAGGTAAACAACAAACATTTACTTCATTCTTGGTCGTAATTATTTGCTACACAATGCTGAATCGACCAGTTCAGAATTATTTCGCGTGTTGTAAAATTATTCATGTTAAACTCTACTTAGTAAGATGCACTTTTAATATTCAGTAAGCTTTAAAGTAAAATGTTTTTACTTATACTGACCATAATGAATAACGATACATTTTTTCTTTGTAAGATTTAAAACGTAATTTTTTATAAGGATCATAGCATCAATAACGATTAATAACGATAGTGAGTGCTGTATGATATTTTGATGGGCTATGTAAACTGCAGATCAGAATATACGAGGTGTTGGCGTGAATCGGTTGTAAGCTCTGCTGCATGACTGCATGCACAACTGTTGCAGTGGTCAAGGGGACACAGTGGTCACCATCCTGATAGATCTGAATGGGTTCTGGATGTAACGGAGAATCGTGAAAGTACCTTGGGGTTTTCCCCCCAAAAAACGAAAAAAAAAGCCCCTTCCCGAAGACCAACCCGAGCGGTGCATGTTCTACACTAGATGCGCTCACAGTTGAAACTACGGAGGAAAACCAGTGATCAGGTTTTCCTTGTACAGCCAAGAGTACTGTTGTTGTTTCATGCTTGTTTCATCTCTAGTACATAAAATGGTGTGTGTAGGGTCGATTGAGACTACCGCCACGTTTTATAGCATCAAACATATTCCAAAGTGAAGCGATTTGTAATTAGTAAATATTATTGCTTGAATAAATTTCCATACATTGATCGCAATTGAGTTTATCTTTACAGTTTTAGTTATCTGTTTCATATTCTCAAACGTCTAGTTTTTTTCTCTCACAAATTCACTGTTACTGTTTCAAATGTGTGACAGGATGAACCTGTTGTTTCAAATGCTCAACCTGTTGTGAGCAAAGGCTCAATTGGCAGGAGAACCCAATCACAACATGTAAAAGCCAATGCGTGTACTTGTGTGTAGTCTACAGCACATCGCACAGTCATCTCAGTATCTATTCCACTTTCATCAATCACCTATCGGAGTTTTGATAATTAGTGAGTTTTGTGAATCATTTACTCCTGTCAATATCAACGTCTCTCCGTATCTACGGTCCGTTGTTGTTTCTCGATTCACCCTACAGGTGAGTCGCACTGTAGTGGCAGCGCCATGTCGAGTGCGCCGTGTGGATTTGCGCCCAGTCTCGGGCATGACACGTGTGTCCGGTGAGCTGGCTCCCAGGTGAACTGGCCCACGGCCTATTATATATATCTACTCTGCGCGGGAATTGCGATTGTAACTTCACTGCACTAGACGCTTCTCCACTTGTTAGTGTGGAGGCGCGTGGGCTGTTCGCGGTGAATATGTCGTACAGCGGCAGTTCTTACTCTCTGCTAAGACCAACGTATATTCTGGCCGCGCAATGCGTTCGCAGTGCTGCGGCTGCAGCTAGCGTCGGCTTGAGTTTCGCTTATGGCCACTGCGTAGATACTTCCTCGTATTTGTTGCTGGTGAATTCGCTTCTTGGATGTTTCCAGACAGGCTGTTTGAGCGGTTCTACAGCACCCCGGGGTTTTGTTGGGGGGGGGCTGCACAGATTGGTAAGATGCCTTCATCGATTTGTTAAAGTGAGAGAAAAGGAGTTCTGTGTAAGAATATAGTTGTATTAGCTTAGTTCATTTGACACAAGCGCGTGTGTTGTGGCGTCTAACCTATTACTTTGAGGCCCGGTACGTGCTGTAAAAAGTGCGAAAAGTGTTCTAAAGTGAACACGCGACACTGCAAATGTGCCTGCTAAATGAAATTTACGTCGTCATGTCATGGATAAACTGACTATTATACTGCGCGCATGTGGTTAGAAAGATGTAACCGATGAGTCACTCAGCATAGTGTGTTCATATCCTCTGTAGGTATACGGGACACTAATAAAGTTCTGAGCTCGTTTAGTGAAATCTTCGGCTATTAGCTTTAGCTATTGATAAAGAGAATTATTTCGGCTTGTGTTGTTGCGTGTTTATTCAGTTTCTTGCTGCTAGTATTCTCTTGTGATATTCAATTAATATCGATTGAAGGACGTAATTTGCTCAATGTTCATTTACGGGCTTATTTTTTTTTGTGCTAGAAGATGTAGCCAGATAGGGTAACTCTTGCCATTACATTTCTCCATCCCTGAAATTTGCTTACATATAGAGTCGGTAGGTGTAACGCTTATAACGCTTGAAGCATAATGCTAGACGACAGGAGGGAGAGATAGAATAGAAGAGAGAGAAGCAATAGAGAGAGTGAGATGAGAGAGAAAGAGCGATGAGAGAGTAGAGAGATGATGAGAGAGAGAGAGAGAGGAGAGAGAGAGAGAGAGAAGACGCGTGCGGAGGGAGTACCGCGCAAGTTGTTGAGAGAGTGAGGAGGGAGGCGCAATGCGAGGCGAGGAGAGAGAGATAGAGAGAGAGATTTTATATTTTATAGAAGCGCAGAGAAGAGAGAGAGAGAGAGAGAGAGAGAGAGCAGAGAGAGAGAGCAGAAGAGAGAGAGAGGAAGAGAGAGAGAAGAGAGAGAGAAGAGAGGAGAGAGAGAGAGAGGGCAGCGGTGGGTTTTTTTGGTGGGTGTTGTGATGTGAGATAGAGAGAGAGAGCGCTGTTCGCGCTGAGAAGAGGAGATGAGAGACGAGACAGAGATGGAGTAGAGATAGAGTAGTAGAGAGAGAGCGAGAGAGAGAGCGAGAGAGAGAAGAGAAGAGAGAGAGAGAGCGAGTGAGAGAGCCGCGAGGCGATCGCGATTTTGTGTATTGTATGTTTTAGTAAAGAGAGGAGATTGAGATTAAAGTAATGTGTATACTTTTTTGTCTGAAGAGGAGAGATGAGATGAGAGAGAGAGAGAAGAGCGCGAGTGGCGCGCCGAGTGAGAGAGAAAGAGAGAGAGAGATAAGAGAGCACGAAGCCCAAGAGAGAGAGGAGAGAGAGAGAGAAGAAGAGAGAGAGAGAGAGGGAGAAGAGAGACAGACAACAGTGAGAGAGAGGCACGACGAGGAGAAGAGCGGGGGAGAGATCGAAGCGAGAAAGAGAGCGAGCGCGATGAGCGAGAGAGAGAGAGAGAGAGATTATGTCGAGCTTTGTATTTTTTGCGACGAGCGACAGAGAGCGAGAGAGAAGGGGGAACGAGGATTGAGGATCACCAGATAAGAGTGAGAGAGAGAGACAGTTTACGTATAATTATGTTTTGTTGGTTTACGATAAGAACCAGAGACAGACCGCATGAGAAGAAAAGTAGAGAGGGCTGCGGCGGTACGAATGCAGAGGAGAGAGAGATGAGAGAGAGAGAGAGAGAGAGAGAGAGAGAGAGAGGCGCGCGCAGGGAGTGTGTGCGTGTTACGTACGTAAAAATACTCGTAGAAAGTTCGCGGGCAAGATAAAGAACCTTGTCTCTGAAGCAATAAGCAGTGGATGGAGTGATGTTATACATCGGCTTTCCGCCACATTGTGATTCAAGCATAGACTGCGCACTAAACCGAAGATAAGACCTCGTCGCGATATACACGCGTTTCGCGAGTTGCGCGACCTCTCGCAGGTTGTCGAATATGTCCGAGAAATTTTCGGCTATTGAAACACGCCTTGCGCTCGTTCTTCAAAGGAATGTGTGGAATGACTCACTCGGTGGCGGTGAATTTCTAGCTACAGCGTTATTCACGTTGTGTTATAGAGCCAGGTTAAGTTGTTTTCTGGGTGACCGTTTCGTCCGGCTCGTGTCGTAACCACGCCCACCCCACGGTAGTACTGGCTGTCCCAAAACCTACTTGACTTGCAAAATGTGTGATCGGCTGTGCGGCATTTTCCATTTACGTCTGTGTTAATTATTTTCGTCTTGCGAATAACCGGTGGCTGCAACAGCCGACATCTAATAAAATTTAACACCTCACAAATATTCCTCCTTCTTGAGAGTTTCCGAGCCATTGTCGGTTGTTAGTGAAACTGTCGACAGTATAGATAGTGATAAATCGGTAAACGAGGAACATTTTGCTGACAATCTGTTTGACGGCGGGTTCCATCGTGTAGGAATTGTCAATGGCAGGACTTGCGATGAGGTACTGATTATTTAAACAACAACTATCCTATATTGCGGCGCAATCTTTGGCGAAAGAAAAAGATAGTCAATTAAGAAATGGCGTGATAATGAATAAAAATCTAATATTAATACCCTAATATAATACTCCTAATAAATACCGCTAATCAAAGCTAATATATAGCACTAGAGTGTACTTATTAGCGTCTTGATAATAGTCATATATGATATATAGTATAATATATGATTATAAGTGGTGTGTGTGTGTGTCGCTGCGTGCGTGCGTGCGTGCGTGCACTGTCGTAGGCCATGCGGGTGGTTGCGTGTCGTGGCGTGCGTGCCTGGCGTGCGTGCGTGCGTGTGTTGTGTGTGTGTGTGTGTATGTGTAGTGTGTGTGTGCGTGCGTGTGTGTTGTTGGTGTGTGTGTAGTTGCGTGTGTGCGTGTGATTGCGCGTGTGTGCGGTGTGTATGTGTGTTATGTGTGTGGGTGGGTGTCACCCTTGACGTATTTCACTATCTTTTTTACGCGTTACTGGTCATCGCGCATCTCTCTTTCAATGGCTAATAAATTGCTTGGGTGTTGTTTAGTATAGTTCGCTCTATGATTTGTTCACTGATCTTGTACGTGTAGCGGGTATAGCTCAATTATTTAATAATTGACTGGAAGGAATCTGGTTTATCGATTACCTTAAGCTCGTATTACTATGTTACCTCGACCCGGTGTTATAGTTTTACCGGTCGGTTGCTATCAGCATGCGTGGTAGGCTTCCTATTGGAGTTAATGGGTTAGGCCGGCTAACCTGTATAAGAAGGCAGTGTGTGTGGTTAGGGTTATGGTTGGGTTCGTGGTGATGATGATGATGATGATGATGATTGATGAAATGTATGATGATTGATGACTGAATGAACTGAATATATATGTATCGCGGTTTCGACAGGTTAGTTTTGAGTCCTAAAACCCTATACACCGTGGGCCCGACTAAAACATTCATATCCTCAGTCAACAATTCTCTCCCATTGGCGCATCGAAAGGGCGCAAGCTTATGTGCGATGGCCCGCAGCGCGGTGTATGGCCTTCGCGAGCTGAACGATCGCGCGTGCATATATTACCTGTTTAATTTACCTTTTCCTGCTTCCTGGTGCAGCGGCGGCGCATGGCGGTCCAGTCATTTCAGCGTAGCCAGGAATGCTGCATATGTGCCGCTCCGCCTCGCATCGCCGTCCCATTTTTCGTCCTTTTTACGCGCCCTTGATGATCATTATGATTCATAACATACGCTATCGAAAGCTGAAACGCCGTCGGTCGTCTGTGCTTTTATCTGGGCAGCAAACTGTCAATGAGTTCGAAATCCGCTGATGTAGGGATGAAAAGGCGGCGGGTGATCATCAACACGT